CAAAGTCAAATTGTTTGACTTTGCCAAAGTTCCCAAATTGTTTCCCACTTGGGGTTTTCAATAGTTTTTCCCTGTTCACAGTGGGCAATGGGGCAGGAGAATAAGATTCCAAGTTTTAAAATATTTAATTTCATTGGTTTGCAGTCGGCAGTGTCATTTGTGATGAGCCTGACTGCTTCTTGCACAGCACATCAGTAAAGAATAAGGTCAGCATTTCACCAGAGAAAAAATAACAGGTAAACATCCTTCATAATTAAGGTTAAAGCCTTTTTAACAATATGTTTTACAGAAGGATATACTTGAATTGTGTCTTGGAAATTATCAGTTTATTACTGAAATTAAAGTCGAAAATGAAAAAACCCTACCTTTAGCGTTAATATTGCTGTGTGAATAGCATCTTCAAGCTCCAGATCTTCATTGATGCATTTCAGAGGATACTCCCGATATATTTAGGAATAAACTGTTTTGAAAAATTTTAAATATTAAAATTGTCCTTATGAAAAGTGAAATTTGAAACTTTCCTCTCCTCCTCTTCTGCAGAGTCCAAGATGAACCTGGACGACTTTATCAGCATGGATCCCAGGCGAGGCTGTGGCAGCGTCTACACCTTAACAGAGTTTGTGCAACGATTTGCCAAGACCTGATGGCAGACTACTTCAGAAGAAAGAAATTCATTGGAGCTGTAAATTTGTTAGTGACTGTTCAGGACTGTTAGGGCATAACAAGGTGTTCAAAGTAAAGAACGCATCCTTTGCCTTTAACAAAGTATTTAAAAGGAATAATCTGGAGAAGCATGGAATCATATTTACCTCCCATTAGAAGGCATGGTGAGAATATGAGAATGTGGTGTTCTACTGAAGATTGTTCACTAGCAGAACACAGGCCAAAACGCAAAGCTCACCTCTAAAGAATGTTGTCCTACAAAATGTGTACAAATACATGTAATAATTATAAGTCTACAAAATAGTATTTTAATTGCAGCTGCAGGTGTGTTAAAGTACTGGACTTTTTTGTCTTCAGAGAAAAATAATGCAGGGGAGTAGAAGTTTAACTGCAATAGTCTGCGAGGTACAATGGCCATGTACAGAGTTCTGAAACTGAAAGGAGCACATTTGTCCTGAAAGCTAAACTTCCAAGAATTTATAGCCAAAATTTAAAATGTTTTCAATAAACTTCTTAATCCTTTCATCATAATGTGTTTTAATCTATATAGTCCTTCATTAGCATATAAGTAAACACTACAACCTTTTCATTCCCAAAACATGATTGTTATTGGGATTACTGACCAAGGAAGAGTTGACATTTATATGCTCAGCTAATTTCTTCTATTTAAATCTGCTATGAAACTGGGGAAGATCCTTACAACCTAAAACATGTTATTTTAAGTCTGTTTCTTATGTAATATACTGGAAATGTTTAAGTCACTTGCGGGCTGGAATAAATTATTCTTGAAGTTCTTCAATATGTATAAAACAGGACTGGCCATTAAAGAATGGGGTCTAGATTATTGTTCCATTACCAGTATTTAATAGTTCATTTAAAGCAGTGAAGATACAAATGCTAAAAAGTTCCGAGTTGGTAATGCAGTATTGGTAAATTAATGATTAAATCTACACAGCTCCTCAAAAAAATATCAGTCAAGGTAAACAGATGCTATTTTAGGCAATAGCAGCCAGATAGTCTTTCACTTCAGTGGGGGAGAGTCTTCTGAACCCTGCTTCGTTGCAGATGCCAACCTCTATGTTATCTTCAGTCATCTGCCCTTCAAAACTTTCCTATGACAGACAGAAACCATAATGTGTTACATTTACATCACTGCTAATTTAATCTACATTAGAGAAATGCATAAAAAGAACAATGGCACTGCATCAATGTTTTTAAACCATGTATTCAGATCTGCAATACGGTCTATTCAGTTCATTTTAGGGCAGCAATGTTTTCCATTAGCTTTTCATATATGCAGTACAAAGTCATAATTCCACTATATTGGTAGAATTCACATCAGATCAGAAAATAGATAAAAGCTTTACATTTACATTTTATCACTAATTTTGTTAATCACAATTCATTAATAAGGAATAAATACCTTTCTGTTGGAATGGAGCAAAAGTATTATAAAATAAAACTTGGGTTTTCTTTTAAATACATAAATTCCAAGAAACATATGGGCTCCTCTTATTCTTACAATGTAGGTTTTTGCTTGAGAATCCTATTTTCATTTGCACCTAAATACAAATTATTTTTCAATTGTTTCCAAAGTCAAATTGTTTGACTTTGCCAAAGTTCCCAAATTGTTTCCCACTTGGGGTTTTCAATAGTTTTTCCCTGTTCACAGTGGGCAATGGGGCAGGAGAATAAGATTTCAAGTTTTAAAATATTTAATTTCATTGGTTTGCAGTCGGCAGTGTCATTTGTGATGAGCCTGACTGCTTCTTGCACAGCACATCAGTAAAGAATAAGGTCAGCATTTCACCAGAGAATAAATAACAGGTAAACATCCTTCATAATTAAGGTTAAAGCCTTTTAAACAATATGTTTTACAGAAGGATATACTTGAATTGTGTCTTGGAAATTATCAGTTTATTACTGAAATTAAAGTCAAAAATGAAAAAACCCTACCTTTAGCGTTAATATTGCTGTGTGAATAGCATCTTCAAGCTCCAGATCTTCATTGTATCTGTAAAATCAAACATTTTCTTAAGATGAACTTTTTAATATATGCTATCAAACAGCAAACCATATGTCATTTGTTCTCTCATACATCCGTGAAAACATTGCATGGATATTTTTCAGTTACTCTTTCATGATTGACAGGAATAAAATGGATCTGGCATAAAGATACTTGTCGCTTGTTAAAGCGATGTAGTCTGTACATTTTCTTTAAATTGTTTCATGTCTTTTAAAAGCAAATCAGTTTACGTCTCAGAATAGTTACCTTTTCTCAAGGAATGTTTTTCCATTTACGTAATTCTTTCCCATTGCTGTTGCTTTCCAAGCAAAATACGCACCCTGTGTGAAAACAATTACACTCTTAATTTAATAAGGGATAATGCAAGTATTATCATTATCATATTATCATTTTTTTATGGACTGACTATGGACTATATAAATTCTAGAAATAAGGGACGAAGATGTCTGATAATGTAGTGCCCAGTAGTGTTGAACTTGTAATGAAATAATGCTGAATGCTCACAGTGGGAATATAAACATCACTCACAAGCAGTGGGCCTGAAAGTCCTCACTGCACTGATCTACAGACCATGTAGCTCCCTGCAGGAGTTACTTTGAAACAGGCTGTGGGATGTCTTCTTGAGCAAGTCAGACAAGCCAAATACCCTCATTTTTTTGTAGCTTTACTTATGTCATAGCCCATCAAATGCATGTCGATTCATAACTTCAAAATCAAGGTTTGTGCTTTATACATTGAAATTCAGCCCATCAGCCCTGCACATATTACAAAAACACCGCACAACAAGACAAAATTGCAGAAAGAAAGAAACAGGTATGTAGAAATCATTCTGTCTACCGGTAAATATACATGACAGTCACATACCGGGAAAAACGGCCTTATCGGTTAGTTACAGAGTTTACTTACAGATGGGTCTGACTGGAACAGATATGGACGCCCCTCATCCCAGCCAGCAATCAGCAGTGACACTCCAAATGGGCGCACACCTCTAAAATGTAAAAGGCAGGAGTGAAATAGTTGTATAGAAAGAATAACATTTTGAATAAGACCTTTTCGTAATGCTAACACCAAATAGTAAAATCCCTATACGGTTCTGAGAATCTTATTCAGGCGATCCCACTTGAACGTCAATATGCAAGGCTCCTTTATCCTGTGATGTGTGATGGGATACCCTCGATGTGAGTGAACTGCTGCTCCCAACAACATTTCACCTCTTCCGATCACTGTGTGTCCGCACGGCAATTGGAAACCCGCAGCAGCCAGACGCGGGGTCTCGGAGGGTGGGGGGGATACGCACCCGGACTGTGTGTACTCCTGCATGACGGAGGCGACCCTCTGTACCAGCTGCGCCGTGGGGATGGGCTCCTGATACACCAGGAAGTACTGCTGAGCCAATTTCCTCGCCCTCCGGACCAGGACCCTGTCGGCACACGTCGGCAAGAATAATGCAAGACCGGTTTTCCGTTTCAGAGGGAATGGCGGAGATTTTCAGGACCTTAAATCCACAGGGTCATTTATTAGCCATTTACCTCAGAGGCTGCTGCCTGTCAACGTATAGCCATATTTAAGAACAGGATCAGCAGTTGCACAGTTGTCTTTTTTTATTTCTACATTCAAACGCACGAGATGTGCAATTGGCCGTGGATAAAACATAAAAGGGTTAGGAGAATTGTGCTGGAAAGAAAGCTGTTGGATTGTTTTCCCGGTGCAGAATGGAAAGAAAAGTACCTGTAATCCGGACCCATGCCACTGTATACCATTCCTATGTGTTTGGTTATTGGCTCCACCTTGTGCACACTCTGTTCATCGTACAGGATGGACTTCTGTTTCTTCTCTGTTGCCAGTACGACTCCATTTGCAGCTGAATAATCAAGTGACACCAGATTAATTCCAAGCACAAACTCGGACTAATCGCCATAAGATTGAACAGCAACAAATAAACATGCTCTGTGCTCAGACATACATAATTCAGCTTTTTCCAGCTGATGTACTATAGCAAAAATATTATTTGATGACAGCTTTATAAGAAGCGGAAAAGCAGATACTCGCAAATTATGTAATAAAAAGGGAGAGGAGAGCAGAAAGCTAGTAAAAAAGGTTTAGGCTTTAAGCTTTAGTTTATTTTTTTTTCAACTAGAACTAGAAACACGTCATATTCGACAGATTTTCTCCTTTATAAAAAAGGACATCGTACATTTAAAATAAACACAGTCAAGGACAGCAAAATAATGCCCTTTACCACATTTACATGAACTCAGGAGAGAGAAGATTTTAAAAGGCAAAGTATAAACTTCCCATCTGCGATTAGCCACGTTAAGAGAAATCACACTGCGGTAAAGAATAACATATTGAATTCGAAGAAGCAACTTTTTGCTTTATTTACCTTTGATTCCAACAGATGGAGCCCCTGCAGCTACAGCAGCAAGCGCATATTCGATCTGCACTAGCTTGCCCGAAGGACTGCAGAAAGAAGAGGTGACAGACTTGAGGAAAATCGTCCATGCCGTCAGACACGGAAAATTCACGTACCGCGAATCTGAACTTTGAAAACATACAGTATAGAAGTAACCACACGATAAGGATTAAAGAAGTTCATTTGGCTACTCTATAACGGCAGAAGAATAATGCTGTAAAACACCATGGGTACGATCGGTTTACCCTTGCCTAAATACTACCAGTCGTTCTGCACGTTTGGTGTTCACATGCACTGCTTACAGAGGCAGAGGGGCAAAACTGTCTGTACCACAACGACTGTACTGTACATCCCATCGTGACATGTTTGCGTGTATGATAAACAGGAAATGTGTAGCTTTCATATACTGTTCATGGAGTATACGATCACTTGTTGGCTACTACACGTGTTTAGTTAATAGGCAGGAAAGAATATTATTTTGCAAGATTATTCATCTTAGTATAAACTAACACGAATTGAAAGTGAAAGTACAGCTAACCTCCACAGCCAAGCACGGCTATATATCACTAGTGCCACGGATCTTAATCCATTTATATACACACGGGGAGCTATACAATAAAACGAGGTGTAGAATTAACATTTTAGTAACACATTTTTAACTCTTTAGTAGTGCAAACTATTAAACGATTAGAAAAATCAGTGAAGACTCTTAGGCCAACGGAGTGACTCTGCAACTCTACACAAACGCATCGCATCTTAAATGCCCAATGCCGATCAAGTATGTAATTGTAAACGCTCTGCGAAACTTTACAATTCATCGTAAATCATACAAACCGTTCAGATCCCCCATTCTTCACTTCAACTAGAACAAACGGTTGTTTACCTGAATGTAGTAAGGGAAAAGCTGTAGCCTCTTTCTGCCATTTCGCTCACTTGCCGGGGGAACTTGCGCCGGACCGTACCAGTGTCGCAGAGCACTCTGGGACTTAACCTTCCGGAGCAGTAAAAACTACAAAATCCAGGACGCTTTTCCGGCCCTAGATAATGTCTTGCGCTGGTTTATTTTTTTGTAATTATCACTTGCGTACAAATATACAATGATGCATGAACGTCAATGTTGTGCGAAAGTGTGCTACCTTTGTGCAATAAAAGTCTGAAAAAGTAGACAATTTTCACACATGATAAACTACATTTCCCATAAGCCTATATTCCGTTCCCATAAGCCCGAAATGATATGCGCAGTCGCAGTGGATCACTGACCCTGTGTGTTCTAACTTCACGCTTTGATTTTGACAAGCAGACAATATGGTGTGGTTGAGAACATCGGGGTTTCTTTGTTTTTTGAGACGTTCCTTGATAAACTTGGAATTGAGAATTCTACAGATCGCGGGGTTTGACAGGAATTTAGGTAAGTTAGACTAGCAGTTTGCGGAATACAGCGAACAGGATCGACAAATTCATTCTGGGGACAGAACAAACTTCGTGACATTTGGGAGACAGCACGTACTTCAGACGTGCACACAATCGCAAAGTGTTGCATGCGTGCAGCAAAACTGTAAACTAAACTTGGGAGGGACCGCGAGTGATGAAACGTCCTTTAAATTGCACGATACTGATTCTGGAATCAGTCCGAGGAACAGCAAGAACCCGAGAATGTAACCAGGACCTGCACTGGCAGGCTGAAGTAACTGAGTGAGGGTCGTGTACAGGAAAGGCTGTGATCGCAAATGTTAGAAGTATTTTAAATGCTCTTTCTCGTGTCTTTTTTGTTCTACACATTTAATGTTGTAGACGTCCTTGTTCTTGACATTGCCTGTTATTGATATGATCCTCCTCACGAAACTGGTTTGTGTGTTATTCTTCTTAGCTGCCTATTGAGCACAAGGGAACGTAAGAGAAGCTACAAGCAAGGAGACGATTTGGTGCATCTTCACGTTTGGTTGCTAGTAGCTAATTAGTTTGAGGGCACATTGTGTTTCCTGTGCGCTTAGTAGACCATTGATCAGGTTCTACATGCTATTGGCAAAACTGATAAAACTGGCATATCTCATGATCACAAGTCAGCTGGACTAGTTGAGCACACCAGGGCTGTTGCCCATTATGTCTTTATATAGGTCCAGTCCTGGTAATGGGATATGCAACATACTACAAACTAAATCTTTCATATACTTTGAGATCCTGGTTATTTATACTAGTTCTTAACCCCTCTTGAAATGCACGTGTCACAGCTTATTTCTCCAGGTGGCCTGAGAGTCTGTGCAGTAGTGCTGTCACAGGGTGGAAACAGACTTTAGAAAAGGGGCAGCTTAAATTGATTAAGTCCAGGCTTAATCAAAGCAGCACTCGAATCAAAACATTAGCCAGCAGTTCCAGAGTTTGAAAACAGGGGAGATAAGCAAGCAGCCGAGATCTCAGAGGCTTCACGCAGTTTAGCCCCAATCAGATCTACATTAAAAAAGGTATCTGTGGTAAAAATGAAGTTGTCAAATAACCGGCCACCCTAGAGGGATTCGGTTTTAAGCCAGTCTTTTTTTTTTTAAATAGCCTTTTCGGGTATGTCTACTTTATCATGGTGTTCAATAGACACAGTATGGTGTTAGTGCAGTATTTGAAACAAATATATAATGGGATCACCCTCTCTCCTAAGTGGCTCGCTGCTGTGCTGACGCGCAGGGCCGTATCTGGCGTGGCACACGCAGCAGCAGACGCGTTCGCTAACTCGGTGAGCGTCTGTGCTCCCGCAGCTCCAGCCTGGGCAGTGGAAGCGCCCTGCCTCCTCCCAGAGCCGCAGTCGCCGCTCGGACAGGCGGAAGACTCCGGTTTCCGCGACAGCGTCTTCTGGATGGCCGCTCCCAAGAAGCGCCGCACCATCGAGGTCAACCGCTGCCGCCGGCGAAACCCCGCCAATCTCATCCCAGTCAAGGTACTCGCCTTCGCTTCGGTCCCCGATGTCAATGACATGCAAGCGCCCGTGGTGCTGTGGGTGGGTGATTCTCCACAGCTGCCGGCAAAACGTGAAAGAGTTTAACCGAAGAATGACAGTGGCCAGCACTCTTCAGAATTGTGAATATCCCATCAGGTCATCTTCTCAACAGTCAGGTTGAGACAATAACCAGATTTTCACCTTTCAAACAAGGACAAAAGCCTACTATAATAACACCAATGCACTGTGTTAGTTTTGATCCATTAATTTGATGCTGGCTGAAATATTGTAAAAATATAAATGTGTAAATGACACTTCCAATTCATTTTTTTTTGCCTAATTAGGAGCTGATCAAGAGATCTCATCTGTATGTTGGTAAAGCCACTGTAAATTCCAAGAGTTCTCCTTCTGAACAGCTGCACCTTTGTCAGCTAGTATAGTGTTAAAAAGCTGCCTGTATGTTACTCATGGCT